TACAGTCGAGCATAGTGGTGGGAGTGTAATGACCTGTGGCTGCATGAGTGCTGCTGGCACTGGGGAGCTACAGTTCATTGAGGGAACCATGAATGCCAACACATACTGTTACATACTGAAGCAGAGCATGATCCCCTCCCTTTGGAGACTTGGCCGCAGGGCAGTATTCCAACATAATAATGACCCTAAACACACCTCCAAAACGACCACTGCCTTGCTAAAGAAGCTGAGGATAAAGGTGATGGACTGGCCAAGTATGTCTCCAGACCTAAACAGTTTGTGCCCAATTTGGACATTGTCACTCAGGGGTGTACTCACTTTTGTTGCCAGCAGTTTAGACATTAATGGCTGTGTGTTGCATTATTTTGAGGGGACAGCACATTTACACTGTTATGCAAGCTGTATATTCACTGTTAGAGATGGAGGTATTCGTATTTGTATATGAATATGAATATCCCTGCACAGGTGGAAATAACGAGAGTCCATGATTTCGCTGCTGCCGCCGGCTCCACAAAGGCTTCCTATCGCGCTGTTCTCCACCATGGATTAGCCACTCTGTGACCTGACAAAGAGGCTTGTCATCCCGCCTCTTGCCAAGAGTGGGTAATCGATTGCAGACAACTCACTTTTGTTGCCAGTGGTTTAGACATTAATGGCTGTGTGTTATGTTATTTTGAGGGGACAGTATACTTACACTGTTATACAAGCTATATACTCACTGCTTTACATTGTAGCCAAGTGTCATTTCTTCAGTGTTGTCACATGAAAAGATATAATAAAATATTTATGAAATGTGAGGGGGTATACTCACTTCTATGATATACTGTATCTTTTATGTTTGTTTGTTTGTTTAAACAGGGTGAAGATACCCTGAAACTGAATTTCTTAATTTTATATTTTTAACAAAGCAAATTTAGAAGGAGCTGCCTCCAACAAAATCTACATAATTGTCAGGAAACATTGGTTGTTGTTCACAACTTTTCATGCCACGTTCACAAACTCTCCTTCTGCCTTCACCCCCACCTCCAGTTTACTAAAAATTGTGCTCTTTTCACACAGAAGATGTATTTACAATTTGTTGCATTGAGACACAGTAGGACCCGGTCAAGAAGAAAAGACTAAATCATCATCCATATTTTAATTATATCTTTGCTTCAGTTAAAAGTTCTCCCCACTAGCCACTATCTCTCTTTTAACTGTAAAATGAATTTGCTCTGCCTGTAAAACTCACTCAAGCTTTGGAAAGCCTTCTGCTTCATTACCCTAGCTCTTGTCAGTTTCTGGGTCAGCAGTTCATTTTCTAAAGGCCAGTGGTACACATATTCCATTTGTTATAGTGAAAGTTTGCTTTTGCTCCTTCAGGAACATTGCTGCCGGATTTTTCCTGATGGGTCACCTATAAAACATTAATATAATGTAAAAGTTCTGAATGTAGCTTTGAGGGAAAGTGCCCGGCCAGTACAGAGGTAGGTATGTGTGTATAAACAGAACAGAGACTGCTTACCACTGCTAGAGAGCCAAGTCTATAATTTAAAAAAATCAAATGCCATTCCAAGGAAAGCTAGATTTGCAATCTGCATAAATTATGCATATTTTTATAACACACAAGAATAATCCTTTACATATTAACTCCAAAGCGAATATTCTTTTGCTCAATGAAGCTTACTTCCTAGTTAATTACAGTAGTTCAGGATTGCAATGTGGCAGAGATATTCTATGTTCATCTACTCAAATCTAAGCTTGATTCCAAATAATCATGTACATGACTGAAGTCTGGCAATGAATCCCATGTCTACTAGGAAGCTTTTCCCACTCGGTTCAAGGGGACATATTACCAAATAAATGTTGCTAGGGTCAAACCAGATAGTAAATAAAAAGTGCATTTACCGTATTCCACCCTGCACCCATGACTTGATTTCCTCAAAGATAAGTGCCTGAAAAATCAGATTTGCAAATTAAGCCTGTGTTTATTTTCCAAGAACCAATCACAAAACAATGCTCACTAGAATACAGATTATGGAGTTTTTGGAAAGCATGTGCTATGACAAACAGCATATGCTTTTGCCACTTAGGAAGCACTGCTTAGAATTGTGTGCTATCTATATAATCTAGACATGCCTTTGGTCTGTTTTTCCTAGTTAGTGGGAGGACCCATGAGCTCTGCAGATTGGTGAGATCCCCTTGCAACTACTACAAATCTTATAGAGACATTCCTTAACTTTATTTTGATAGGTGTTGCCAACACTCTTTCAGAACTGCCTTTGCAGTTGTTAACACAAACTTAGCAAATAGAGAAACTTTTCCTTAATCCTCCCCATATTCCAATATCAGTGGCCTATGTGTGTGTATTCTAAACTAAGTCCCAGCACTGGCCTAAGACATTTTGTTCCCTGGGGTCAAAGTCAAAGTGGCCCTTCTATTCCACACAGAAAAAGTCATGCAGTCTGGAAGCTGGATCTTATTTCCACAGTAATGATGAGAAGGTATCCTTCGCCTCATCAAAGGGGAGAAGGGGAAGGAAACAGGGTAGGGCCGTATAGTATACACAGCTCTACTGCTGCCTATCTCCAAACATGTGATGCCTGAGATGGGCATCTCCACTGCCAAACTGAAGGGTGGAGTTCAACAGGTCTTACTCCCAGGTAAGTGTGTGCAAAACATTAGCCCTCAAATAATATTCATAAGCTTTTATATCATATACTGTTCATCTGAGCGGATGTTCACTCATGTCAACTGTACTTTCTTGCTTTTAGGTAGACAAAGGTATGGGTAGGTGAAAAATTCTGTGTGAGTGAGAACAAGGTGGGAATATGCTCATCATAATATCTGTGTATATTTTATAGAAAGAAAATATTGAACACCATTTACAAGGATGACTTAGAAACATGAGAAATTAACTTTCTTCCAATTTGCAGTCTTGTTGACAAGTTTTTCGAAATTTGTTCTAGAACTACAAATCTGCCAGTCTATTTTCGAATAATAGTTCTCTATATAATTCAGTTTAAGTTGTGTACGTATAACATTTACTACTGGCTCGTTGCACAGCTGAGCAAGATGAGCAAAAAAGGTCATATCGCAGTAAAAACGGAAAGTGATAGTGGCTAGACCAAGGCAATGCTGTCTAAATCTCGGATGTCAACCTTGCTGACTTGCCTTATAGACTATGAACCCACTTGCTGGTAATTTACATTTTACATGGTAGATAAATTTATTTGAAGTGTCTACAAAGCTTTTTCTCAGCATGTTCTAACTGCAGCCAGGCATTTCTATGGGGTTATTAGCACCAGTTTAATCATACCCCTGTGGACTGGGAGCAGTTACATGGCATTCTATAATTGGTTCTAAAATATTGACTGTCACTAAACCATGCAGAGGTATTTAAAAACTACCCTTTGATGGCAAGCCTAAATCATAACACATTGTAATTTTTTTTGATGATTTATACCACCAAATAATAAATCCTTGCAAAATTCACCCTGTGTATAGTTGATAATTCAAAAATCAAAATGCTTTTCCATTCTTCTCCATGCCCTCACTCTGATCAGAAGAATATCAGATGACTCCAGAAAGCCAGTTCTGTGCTTATGCTAGACAAAGAATGAGCAGGGATGTGCAGTGTCCTTTTATGCATCTTTTTAGATGCATAAAAAGATACTGAATCAGAAGTATTTGTGCAATTCTGAGTATTTCCTAGTGGTGAAACCACTGGTTACCTTTGGGGCAGAGCAATACACTCGCAGTCTGTTCATGTTCCATCTGGCATTTCTGGAGTTAAAAAAATTTTAACCATAGTTACCAGGCAGTATCAGCCAAAATGGTAATTGGAAAGACTCAGTTGCTGTCCATCGAAGTAGAACATGAGGGACAACTGAATCCTCCAGAACTCCTCTGAACATTCCCACCACCGAAGTGCTATGTTTGGCATCACCACATAATAACTTTATATCCTCCTTTAGCTGCTGTGCCATCCATTTTATGATGATGCAATGTAAAGTGAAAGACTTGCATCATAGCTGCCAGCTAGGATTTACATTCTAGATATTTCTTTTTCTCTTTCCTATCCCTCTTAGGTAGTCTACTAAGCAGGTTACTAATAGGATTGAGTGTGTAAGAGAGAGTGTGGACAAAAGCCTCATATAAACTTTGACTAATTATGTTAGAATTAATGTACTAGGCTCTGTTTTTCCTGCCTTGGCATTTAGAGGTATCTCTTAAGACCCATACTTCAGTAGGTAGTCAAAGTCACTACCCAGCAAGGTAAGTCCAAGAAAGCTTCCGATTTGAAAACCAAAGGGTCATTGCTCAGAAGGATCTGCCTCTATCATGGTGACACTCCAGATGTCTGATTTGAGTAGGCACTACTTTTCAGAAAACAGATATGCATAGGAATGCAGCATTCGATATTATACCCTTGATTTATGTCACCATTACTATTTCCATATAGTTCTATTCTTGTGTATTCCCTTTCTTACTGTTTTCTTTCTGTCCTCAATTACTGCTAAGTTGCAAGAAACCTCTCCCCACCTTTTCAAATGTAACAGCATTGCCAAATGTTTGCGGTAATTCTTTAATCTTTCTCTTTTTAGTTTTCCCGGATTTGTTCAAAATTATCCCTGCAAGTATCCATGTTAGCGTCATCGTCTTCTGCTTGGTGTTGTTAGTATTTGCACTAATCGGAGCAGGGTTCTTCATGTACAACGCCTTCGGCAAGCCATATGAAACGTTGCATGGGCCTCTGGGGCTGTACCTGTGGAGCTTCATCTCATGTAAGCCTTTTACTGTTTCTTTGCAGCTGCCAAATTCTCAAGGATTGTAGTTTTCAAAGGAGCTCCAGAGGTTCCATCCAAACGGATCCTTCCCTGCTGGTTGCTTCAAAATGGAACTCCAGCCTTCCCTAATCACCATAGCCATGTTGCCTTGGAACAATGGGAATCAAACACCATAGAAAGTGCCAGATTAGAGGATGTTGCCGGATGTGGCAAGTAGCAGTATGTACAGAAAAACTGCCCCCCACCAGTGACAATGACAGGATGGAGAACATCTAGTTCTGGTTTTGCAAGAAGTATCAGAGTTTCACAATGCATGCTTTCTGTTGCAAATAAAGTCAGGCTGGCCTCTGATAAAGGCTGTGAGGATATTTATTGGTCATTTTCAGTTACAGATGTGAGAGAAAGAGTTTTAGGATAGACACATGTCCTCTTTTACAAAGGACATTTCCTCCCTCTGAAGGGCTGCCAAAGAAAAAAATTATTGATTTGTTATTTTAACTTGTATAAAGCCCTAAAGTGTACGCACACACACATTCTGGGTGATGCTCTTTCTGTAGGTATGTTCTATGTAAAGGCCTCTCCAGCCCAAATCTGATTTAAAGCTAAGAACCATAAATGGGGAGGAAGACCGAGGTTCTTCTTCGTGGTCTCTGTGAATGCACACTAATGGGTTCATCTGCACCTGCGCAGAGGTTCCCGGAATCTGCTAAAGCTTAATATTCGTTCACCAGAACCGCCACCCTAGTACACGCAGTCCACCCGTCTTGGCAAGTGCCTGAGTTCCTTTTTGCTGCCACTGAAGTTCCTTCTCTCAGACAAGCTGCATTCACCCTTTTGGCTTTTCTGCATTTCAAAAATAAATTCCTATGAGAGATCTTCTTGTGAGAGACTTTGTTGTTATTCTTTCCTTCTACCACCCCGTTCCCCCCCCCCATTTCCCCTTTTATGTTTTTCCTTAGTTTATGGCCTACTCTGCCCCAATAAAATCCCATTCACTGAAGGCTACGACTCCTGCCTCTTCTGCCTGGGTGAAGCACACCAACCAGCTTCTTGCCCTTTTTGTAAAAAATTAACGAAACAGGTTCTTTAATTAAGGCAGCAATGCCTGTGTTGTTATTTGTGGGAACATTCCCTTCATCCCCTACCAACCATGGAACCTGCACCACCTTCCCAAGTTCAATCGGCTTTCCCGGGAGCCTCTGTTGCTTCTTTGGCAAAATTGAAATCTACGACTAAGATCACTACCAAGTCTAAGACTGGTGGTTCAACGCTGAAGTCCACACCTATAACAAAGTCTCCTCTGGTACCGGAGCAACAGTCCAAGCCTAAGAAATCGTCCTCTGACGCCTGATCCTCCAAACACCAAAAGGATAAAGCGGCCTCTTCTATTCCGCTTCAGGAGCATCCCCTGTCCCAGACACTGATACCAAAATGGGCCCGACCATCATCCAAGCTCTCGATACCACTTATTGAACCCACCATGCATCCACAGGTTTGTGCTTCATCAGTTCAAGTCACCACTACCTATACGGGTCCTTCACCAACACCCCAAGAAATTAGTCAAACTTATCAATCTAAGCAAGTTAAACCACGTAAGTCTGCCACTCGCGATCTAGTTATGAAACAAGATTAAACCAAACAAACCATGACACTGGTCGACTTAATGGATGACCTGCCCTCTCCATATGAACCTTCGTCATCACCATCACTAGATTCTGACACTTCTGAGTCAATGGTACCCTGGAATCGCCTCCAAATCTACCAATGCCTGACTCTGATGTTGCGGACGTGAACCCTCCCCCATCAGAGAACTTCACATCATATTCTTAACTAGTTCTGCATATTGCTAAAGAAATGGATCTGGATGTACAACAGCCAGTACAGTCCGAATCTGACAAAGTGTACAAGGACATTAATGAGGACCAAACCCCTCCACTCCGTATGGGGTTCATTCCATCCTTACTTAAATTGATCAAACAATCTTGGGCTAAATCATCTTCTGTGCCACAAATCTCAAGAAGAGTCAAAAATTTATATAAGACTTATGGTGACAATACAGTTTTTCTCTCCAAGCATTCACCTCCAAACTTGGTCATAGTCGATGCAATTCAAAATAGGGCGAAGAACCAGTCTAACGCCACACCAAATAATAAGGAAGGCAAGAAACTCAACATTATTGATTGTTGGGTTTATTCCTTAAGCGTCCTTCACATTGCATGCCACAAACTACCTTGCAGCTATGGGAGCATACCACCATTCACTCCTGGTGAACAAATATTAAGCTCTAGAAGATTCTGGAAACCTCTGCACAGGCACAGATGAACCCATTAGTGTGAATTCACAGATGACCACTCAAAGAACCAGAGTTACAGGTAAGTAACCTCTCTATCTTGAAGTTTCCCAGCCACAGCTAGCACCCGGACTTGGCAACATATGCAGGTCACCTCCTGTATTCTTTCCATTTAAATTATTATAGTTGTGTCTGTAGAGGATGTGCACTTTTATGGACATCAGTGTCCTCTGTGGCCAACCTAAGGAGAGTGGGAAATAACAGAGTATCTTTTTAGTGTTATTTTATTTGCCATGGATCTATCTTCCTTTTTAATTACAAAACAATACAGAACGTATAAAACAGAATTTAAAAAACAATCAACAATTAACAAATAAACAGTATCTTTTTTGACGTAATCTTCACAATAAACTGAATTTACCTAAAGTAAAACTCAGTGCACCCCTCTACCAGAACCAATATGGATACTTCTATTGTGAATATATCTTCAGTGCTATTTTAATTGCCGTCGGTCTATTGTATGGATCCTGGTATTTGTTTTCTGTTGCAACACTCAGAATATTCTTCTAGAATTCCTTGCTCTGGGACTGTAGTGCAAAGAGGGATTTCACTAGTAGAAAATTATTTTAGAGAATTCTAAGTATTTCACTAAGCTACACATACCAGGTTTCCATAGGATGGATCCATGACAGTTAATGTGTCTATAACTGTAGAGTGTAGCTATATTCTGTGTCAGAGCAGGATCTTGGGTTGAGGGAAGCGTCTGCAGTATCCGTTTTACTGACTTCCCTTCTCTGTCAGTGGCATGTCATTAGGAGTGGGGAAATCTGTCAATTTCACTTTCTCTTTCATTCACAAATGTTCACCTCAAGTTCTATCCATTTCAAATACAAAGAAATCTGCAAATTTTGTTAAATTTGTCAACAATAGATTGAAACAAAATTCTCTATTTGTATCAGCCATATTCCAGAAGTACAGCTTGTCCACTACAGAGATTGTCATGTTGTACCTGCCTTTCCCTGAGCTGTTGAAGTTGAAAAGCCTCTTAGGGGAAAAAAAGAGTTCTCAACTTTAGTTCATCGGTATTAACATGTTTGAATGGTCAGTGATTGAAAAAAAGAGGCTTTTAATGTTAAGCACACAGACTACTGAGCCTGTATGGACAAACTGGTCAGTTTTAGTTTTTCCCACATTCTGTTTCGCTAAATCTCAAGCTAATTCCATTTCCTAAAGATCTTGAAAAGTCTACTTTTAAGAAGAATGACTGTAATGACATGCCAAAGCATCCACCAGTGGAACCCCCATATCAGCTTAACATTGTTCAGCAAGATGGTTTCAGCATGCTATTATGGTAATTATTCCAAGCTCTAAGAATTTAGATAAATTCTTATAAAAAGGGGGTTGAAATTAAATGCTCACCCAATTCTACTTCAGGTAAGTTTACCAGGTGGCAGTGCTCACCAAGGAGAAATGGCAGCAGTCTGGGAACTGAAAGATGGCTCAAACTATAGTAGTTGCTAATTTAAATGTCCCAAGTGTCACAATGATGATGCTATATCAAAGGCATTGTGTGGGAAATTAAAACAGCAGTGAAACTCTAGCTGGCTGAAGAAGCTTGGCTGTAACTATAAAGACAAATGTTAAGTACTATCTTTTAGTACTATGGTTAAGTACTGGAAACCAAGAGGATTTTCAGAATTTCGTTCATATTTCTAAACAAAATTTATTCCTTGAATATGGGCCATTATTTATTACTTCAAAGCACCACACTTTCTTGCCAGTTGAAAAGGTAAATCATTTATGGGTATTTACCAAGGGATCTGCAATTTGGAAGTATACTATGATCAGCATGTAGGCTTTGAAGTAATAAGTCCTTGATTCATGTTACATCTCAGCCAGAAGTTGCAAAATTACTTCAAAAATGAGTTAGTTGCTAATATAATTCCAAATCCTCCAAATTAGCTGACCTTATAACGGAATTTTTGAAATATGCGGTTGGATAAAATATGTGGTTTTTAAAATATGCGGTTATATGCGGTTGGAGAAGATAAATAAATTAGGGTGCAGAAGCTTCAGAAAGGGCCTGTACCCTAGTTTATTTATCTTCTCCAACCGCACCCTGAATAGGATGCAACTTTAATGTACAGTAATGGCTGGAATTAAACTTAAAAAAAAACTAAAGTCATATCTCCATTGGAATAAATGTAAGCTGCTAATTGCTGGAAGTCAAGAAGTCATTATAGGTATTTGTAGTTATATGACAAGGCGTGCCACAGGAAATACCTGGGGTGACTTTTTAACCTAGATAATTCACAGTTGAGGTTTATGTTAATACAGTTGTGCTGGCAAGCATAATTAATAGGATTCTGTCTAATATTTATTACTGGTGGAAGCAACTATTTTAAAAGTAACTGGTTTTAGACTAGTTAATTTCAAGTTTTGATCTCAGCCACAAGCTCTTTAGCTGGCAAGCCTCATGCTGCTTTAACACAATGAGGATAATAATGGTGCCTTATTGTATGGCACAGGTAGACATCCCAGTTCTAAGTTTGGACTGGACTGGTTTTCAGCTCACAAGGGAAGAGTATAGGAAGCTGGGTTGGTTTGTAAATGCTGGGTTGCAACAAAAAATAGAGTCATAGCCTCTTCCTTCCATGTTGATTATAATACTTTGTTAGACAATGACAAAACAATAATGTTACATTTTCTTCCTTTCTCTTTTTTCCCCAGTTTCCTGTGGTTGTCTTATCATGATACTCTTTTCATCAGAAGTGAAAATCCATCACCTCTCTGAGAAAATAGCTAATTATAAAGAAGGAGGTTTTATTTTTAAAACTCACAGTGAGCAATTTGCAAATTCATTCTGGATCATCCTGGTGTGCTCATTAGTACACTTTCTGAACATTCTGCTAATACGCCTTGCTGGATTTGCATTCCCTTTTTCAAAGTCGAAAGATTCGGAGACAGCAAATGGAGCGGTGGATTTAATGTACTAGACATATTTTGAATCATGTTCTGTGGCAAAGCTTCATCTTTGCCCTTCCCTGAAACCAATACATGTATATGGGCATAAAGGGCAAATTTTTAATACACAACATAATCCTGGAGCTTTTAAAGACCAGATAACATGTGTTAAGGGTTATATCACCCACAATAGATGATGACTTATCATTAGGATCATACAGAGCTGTTGAGGCATATTTGTAAACCATTATTTGCATTAAGTGTTGTATAGACTCTAAACCAAATTTTGTGTCCAGACATTGATGCATACCATAGATTGTGTGATTTTCCCCTACCCACCTGTTTAAAATCCTTGGGTACCCTTCCAAACAACAGCTTCCAAAAGCAGCACCTAAGCCCAAACCCTGATCAGTCTATGTAGATGTAACCTATACTAAGTTGTCCAAACTGTGATTTGGAACCCAGGATGAAACCATGGTAATTAGATTCTGACTTGGTGGCTACTCACAAACTATTGTATCTTCAGACATCTTGACAGAGCATAATTCAACAGTATATCCGAACTATTTTATTGTCTCAAAGAGCTAGAAGTTTCTATGGACGGAAAAGAGCAGATATGGATTAAATGGTTTTCAATGCATTCCTATGGGAAATGCAGATTCAACATAAGAACTTTTCAACTTGAGAACCACCTTCCAATACGGATTAAGTTCTTAAGTAGAGACCCCACTGTATTCGAACTATTTCATTGTCTCAAAGAGCTAGCGCACCAAGAGAACTTAATATTGCTAAATTAGCATAGTAAAATAGCCAATTAAAATGTTCAACTTAAAAAGGGAAATTAAAACATAGGTACGTATCTGATTTGGCAATGGGACACCATGGACCTTCAAGCGGAAAGAGGCTGATGAGTTGGAATTGTTACTTTACAAATATGTGCACCAAGGCAGCAATAAAAACTCACCCTCTCCAACAGAAATATCTCTGTAAGGCTACAACAGCAAGTCAGCATCTCCCCTAGAACATTGAAACAAGGGTTCCTTTACGAAAAGGCTCTCATTTAAAATTAAATAGTTTAATTTAATTAAATAGGCCTCTGGTATTTTAACTCTATTAGTGGAAGGAACGAGGCCTGAGCTGCTAGAAAAACCTCTTCTCTTAAATTCATTACATTTACAAAACAAAAACACCAGATGCAAAAATATATATATTTATATAATCAGTTCAATGCAAATGCCTGTACAATGGATACCACCAAAGATGCTGCTTGTTGTTGGATGCACTTAGGGTCAAATATTGCAAGAACTGAGCCCAAATGTAGTAAACCTAAGGTAATATTACAACATATATGTATTTGTTTTGTGTTACTTCTAGTTTTCATGTGTTTTGGTTTTTAGAAGCAGAGGTCTGGTTCTCCTGATCTGCAAACTGAAATTGCAAACATTAAATAAATTATGTCTCTCCTACTAGAGCATTTCAACTGACTGTTGGTAAAAAGCATGCACAAAATGAAAAAGAAAGAAAATATCTGTGTAGGAATGTCTCAGTAACTTAGTCAGTGTCTTATTGTTACACTTGAGTACAGCTGAGTGAGAATTATCCCTGCCCATTGTGTCCCTGACACTTCACCCATTGTTTCCCTCCTTCTTTTCCAGTGCACTTAACAGGGTTGTCGATTTTTGGATGTATGCAAAACTCAGACATGATCATAATCAGGTTGTCATACTTTATTGTGCACTCCTTTCTTCCTACTCTACCCATGTAAGAAAAATACTACGTGTGGGGATCACACTAAGATATTGTAACAAATGCCAGCTTTCTTGTGTTCATACGGGTCTACTACCCATATTACAGCAAACAAAAAAAGACAAACATTTGCAATCTTTAAAGATTGCAGATCTCTTCACTGGACAAAACATACTGTACAAAGAACTGCAGGAAGCAGAGACCTGTTCTTAAGGACACATAAGTTGTATGGTCTCTTGAGATGTAACAGACAATAAAAGCTTGGCAGATATTCAAATACACCTCTTCAGCTGAGGCACTAGTGTTAGATTTCATTCAGGGTAAATGACAAATGTGCTAGGACCTGGAAAGGTAAAAATGTTTTCTCCTCCACTGTGGATGACACAAATTTTTATAGTAAACTCCAAGCTGTTTCTGCTTTATTTGAACTTTCAGGCTCCTTAGCTAGTGCAAAACAACCATGAAGTCCTTTTGTTATGAAGGCTGGAGTTAATTTTAGATGCTAGATTAGGTGAAGGAAGTTAATAGAAGCTAAATTCAGTAGGTTTGTTTGTTTGTATGTTTGTTTGTTTGTTTGTTTGTTTGTTTAACTTATGTGCCGCCCACTCTACCGAAAGGTCTCTTTGGGTAGAGGGAATAACACCCAGTTAATAAACTTTCAAAAATAAACAAAACCACTTTTCTCACTGTATATCTTGGAAGCAAATATGACAGGGCTTAGAGGTTCTTATAATTCTTATAATTCCTTTCTCCAGTAACGAAGGTATAATTCCATAACAGTATTATTGTAACTTAACAGAGATAGCTAACTGTGTGTCTTTTGTTGCATTAATTGCAACCACTTACTTTTATAGTTATGGGGTGCGTCCTTACTAAATGATGGAAGAGAAATATTACACATGATTCTTGAAAGAATGCCTTATGATGCACCATGCTCCATATTTAGGAAGTCCAGGTAACAACACAGTGGTCAGAAAAGTGGGCTTTTGTACTCCAGGCCAGCAGCTTCTAGCACATTTTTTTTCTTTTTATAAGTAACCAGAAAGTAAATATTTAGATAATGCCAAGAAATGGAAAAATCAAAAGATGCTTTGAGATTTTAAATGAGTAAGTTGCAACTTCTATATCTTGGCATAAGAGCTTTCCAAATGTCTACAACTGAGGGAGCATATTCTCCTTTGATTTGTCTTCTATGGAATTCCTGCTACCACATATCTTTTATCACATGGTGCATTTAACATGCAAGTATATGTGTGTGACCAACTGATATATATAAGTACAGATTTGGGGCTTAGAGGCAAACTGCACCCTGGAGAAGAGTTCTGGATTTGCCTTCACTTGTCAATTTTTAACCATTACTGTTAAAGCTATGAGATGTAAAAGATTATTGCTGGCCTCCAGACAAACTGCAGAAGTAAATGATTTCAGGTCGGATAATGTGAGTGGTGATACATTGCACCTATCCATGCACAGAATTGCCTACTGGAGTAAAACCTATAAGATGTTCACACCTCTCTAAAGTTCAAACCTTCTGACCTAGATAAATCATTTCACCTAGGATTTCTAATTATCTCTTACCTTACCTGCTCATTTATCAACCATAGTCATCACCCTGGGGGCCTCCCTCCATGACATCTAGATCCTATTACTATGAAAGAGCAGATTATCAAGTGGTGAAAAGGATAAGTTCATCGAAACATATTAAAAGAAACCACAAGAGTGGAACCCCTCTATCTCTCTGGAATATATGTAAGAGCAGGAAAGATCCATTTCTTTAACATGTGCTTTGACTCTGATTCAACACTTACAGTGCTCTCCAAGGTTTTGAACCTACTCCACCACCCCCCATCTGCCTGTCAGCAACTTTACCTTGTGCCTCCTCACCTAAGATGCTTTATAAAGAAATTTACCTTTGGTGAGGAATTTGCCTTTCATGGAGGGCAATCTTCCATTATTGTCTCATGCTGCTGGTGAACTCACCAGACCACTGATAAAAATTAATAGTAGAGTGGAACAGATTTGTCTTCATGGTTTAGGGCAGCCTCCCCTCCTCATATGCTGGATAGTTGGCCCTGCTGCCAGGTGGGAATGATAGATAATAACTTTAGAACTGCAGAGCTTGGAGAGACCCTATGAATCATCAAGTCCAGCCCCTGTCAAGGAGAGATGGGGGGGGAATGGAATTCCCAGACACTGGTTTCACATCCAGATGCCTAAACCACTAAGCTATCCGGCAGCTTCACGTTGAAGCTCAACACATTTAGAGAGCACAGGGTTTGTGAACACAGTACTGTTCAAACACTGCATAGGACTGGTGACACAAACCATCCTCAGATAGGTATCAGTGCTCCAGCAAAGCCCAGTCATCTCCACCTTCACCCAGGCTTCCTGTCTGGTAGTAGGAGCAAAGACAGCTACCATGTTGACTTTCCCATAATTCCTCCAAACACCCAACTCAGAATGACTCTGAGGCATTTTTGGAACTTCAAAGAATAGGCTATTACCCAGATTCTACCAGTGCTGTCAAGGAGACCTGATAGGTGCCCAAGTAACTAGTAAGCAGTAGCATGGATGAGAGGATGCACTATATTGTTTGGGAACCTCTCTTAATTGGAACTGTTTTTGCCCAGACATTATTTCATCAGATGAGCCTTCTCATCAGTTAAACCTTTTGTTGTAGGTATCTTTTGTCGTAGCTATAAAATTCTGTCCAACCTGTAATGACTCTGGTGGTTCAAGCTAAGTGATTTTTTTAATGGTTTACCTTTGCTATATCCCTGCAGTGAGTTTGCACGGCAGAGCAAAGATTTGGACCCAGGTCTCTTTTGTTCTAGTTCAACGCTCTGTCCACTACACCACATTCGCTCTCCTTCTTCCATAGTAAAACTGAAGTGAACTTCCAGATGCAAACTCTTCAGGAAAAAGGTGTTGTCTAAATGTAAGCTGATAGGAACTATTTTAAACAATGTTGTTTACTTTAATAGCACATAGCTCAGCCACTCCTTTACAGAGAAAGAAAGTGTTGACATTTCCACAGAAACCATAGGAAGGGTGCCAGCTCCACTGATGGCCACACATTCAGCTTGCACTCTTGGTTGTGTGGTCTGCCATTAAATACAAATCCGGTCTTTGCTGGGACAGAGGAAGAAAATTCTGGTGGCTTTCTTTGACATGGAATGGTAAGAAAGAAAGAAAAGTAATGGGGAAATAAAGAAGAAAAACATGAACAAGAGCCTAGTGGTAAAGGATATTTGAATAGCTTTAGTTTGTAAAATATAATACACTGCATAAGGAAACTCTCTAACAAGAATAACAACAACTTAATTCATGATATTTCTGCTAGGACCAACATCAGGAAGTTTTTAAAAAGTGCCGTAGCTGAGTATTAGCCCATATGCTTCATCTGTAAAAAGCTTCAGATTCAATTTCTAATATCTGTTCTCAAGACTGGTTAGGACTCCAGGATGAGATCCTGGAGAGCAGAGCCATAACTAGCCCTTTTGGTATGTGGGACAAGTGAAACCCCTCTCTCATGCACTCCACCAATAGACACGGATAATAGCCTCCTACAAAAAAGGAATGTGGTATCTCCCCAAAGAAATAGAGAGTTGATGCTTTGGCAGGAGGATAAATGAGAGTGAATTAAGGCAGGAGGTATAGCCTCTTATTTTCCTCACACTCACCAGTAAATTTACCTCTTGATGTTGGTGCCCTCAGGGAAAGCCCCAGTTGCTTCAGCCTAGTTACAGCCCTACTGGAGATCCAATGCTGGTGAATGTAGACCATTGGTAGTCAATGTGTGAGGAATCTAGTGTGTCCAGGGAGACATAACTGCCAA